TCATCCCCCCACACTCTGACCCTCTGCCCGAGCCCTGAGCCCCTCCACACCCCAAGCCTCCCATTCCCAGCCCCAGCCAGAGCCCTCACCCCCCCACACTCCTACTCTCCCCCTGAGCCCCTCCCGCATCCCAAATCTCCCATTCCCAGCCACAACCCACAGCCCTCACCCCTGCACCCCTTCCCTCTGCACCCCTTCTATCCCCAAACTCCTTCCCAGAACCTGCACCCCCTCCCTCCGCACCCCTCTCATTCCCAAATTCCCTCCCAGAGCCTGCACCCCAATCCCCTGCGCCAGCCTAGGGCCTGCACCCCAGACCTCCTCCCTCACCCAAACTCCCTCCCAAGGCTCTGGGAGGGTGGGGGGATGGAGTTTGGGCGGAGTGTGTTCTGGGCACCACCAAAATTTCTACAAATCTGCCACCCCTGATCCTGCCCTGCAAACCTGAACTCCCAGCATTCTCAGGACCCATGCTGAGCCCTAGTGGCCACTGCTGATATCCAGCACCTCCCTCCTCTCTTAACCTGTGAGTCCCTCTCTGGATTGGAACTGGACTGGAACCAAAGACCATCTTGGAAGCAATGTTACCATCCCAAGCAGTCAAAAATTATGAGTTAGACCCCCCAAAATCACAGGCTCTACCGCCGCCACTTCATTCAGTCTTTGGCGGCAGGCCTTTCCCTCCGAGAGGGACTGAGGGACCTGCTGCTGAATTGCCACCGAAGAGCCGGCCCTGGGGGAGGGCGCAATTTAATATTCTTGCATCGGGCGCAAAAATACCTAGCTACAGCTCTGACTGTCAGAGATGGAAATGTCCCCCAGCTCCTTCCAGTACAGAATAGAAATATTTACTGAACACTTCCCCCTTTCCTCCGTCATGGCTGACACTGTCGCCGCCGCTCTCTCGTAATGGAGCTGTATGAACACTAGGATTTTGTTTGTTCCCGATAGATTTAAAGAATGCCTTGATTGTCCGTATCCCACTGGCCACAGACTCTTGACACCTGTCCCTCTGATTCTTCCCTCTGGTTTATTCTGCAGGTGAAGAAAATGCGGAAGCTGCAGCTTTGGCTCCTTTTCCTCGCTGGCCTCTCAGGAGCTGTGGCCCAGACAGGTAGGAGCAGAGCTGGCTGTGCCGGGGGAGGGGGGCAAGCCCTGGCCGGGATGCCCTCTGTACAGGACGACAGGGTTTGTGCTTCTGCAAGCAGAGAGCAGCCCAGTCCCTGGCACTCTGGAGGGTGCGTGGGTCACGTTTTCCGACCGCCCTCCCCACAGCTCCCAGCCGAAGATGGGACTCCCGATAATGCCCCCGTCCAGAGCAGGGCTTCTGTTGGACTTGGGGGACTGTGCAGTGCTAAGTCCCCTGGTGCTCAGCATTTAGCCCTGTTGGATCTTGGCACCCACCTCGAGACGATGGGGCCTGATGTCAATTGAAGCGTTGGGGCTCAGTGACTCTGAGGGTGAGGCCCCAGGACTCCCAGAAACAGCGACGCGGAACCAGCGTGGGGCAGAGGAGTCGTTGGGAAGAGCCACGTTGCTGCACACATCTGCTCGATGGCACTGCTCTGGTGCACACAGGGTGTGGCTGAGAGACATTTACGGAAGGGCGATAAGAATGCAATGGCCAATCAGCTGTGCCCTGCCCTACCTGACTTAGGGGGCATGCTGTGACAGCGTGGGGGGATCTGTGGGGGGCGTTGTGACAGTGCAGGAGGATTGGGGGCTCCATTCTGACCAGCAAAAGGGGATTGTGGTGGGCACACTGCAGCCAACACGTGGGCATCAGCAGACGACACAGGGACTCGGTGGGCAGCACAAGGGGTTGGCAGAGACACTGTGGGCAGCCAGGGGGCTTGCAGGGTCATTCCCTGGTGCAGCCGCTGCTTACCCCGGCCCCTGCAGGGGAACAGGCTTGGCTCCATGTTCTTCCTTCTCCACATTACCAGACAAGGCAGCAGCGAGGATTCAGCCGCGGCCCCCCTACCCCAGCCCGGGCAGAGAGCTGCAGCTGCAGTGTGACGTCCCAGGGGATCCTGGGTAAGGAGCTCCCCTCCCCCTCACCTCTCCCCTTGGCTGCTCTTGCTCTAGTAGCCCCCTTCCCAGCACCCCCACCCCGCGCCCAAGAGCTCACCCCTCCCCCCATTGCATCCACCACACCCTGCAGCCAAAACACTCACACCGCCCACAGTGCCCACCCCCACCCTGCACCCATAGCGCTCACCCCTCCCACTCCCATCGCACCCATCTCCACCCTGACCCCTAGTGCCCAATCTTCCCCCTCCCATCATGCCCGCTCCACCCTGCACCCATGGCGCTCGCCCCTCCCCTTCCCATCACCCCCACCCCCACCCTGTGCCCATAGCGCTTACCCCTCCCATCACGACCACCCCCACCCTGTGTTCTTAGTGCCCAATTTTCCCCCTCCCATCATGCCCGCTCCACCTTGGACCCATAGCGCTCACCCCTGCCCCTCCCATCGTGCCCACACCCACCCTGCACCCATGGCGCTCGCCCCTCCTCCTTCCATCACACTTACCCCCACCCTGCACCCATAGCACTCGCCCCTCCCCCTCCCATCACACCCACTCCCACCTTGAGCTGATAGCGCTCGCCCCTCCCCCTCCCATCATACTCGCCCCCACCCTGTGCCCATAGCGCATGCCCCTCCCCTCCCATCACCTCCACCCCCACCCTGTGCCCATAGCGCACACCCCTCCCCCTCCCATCACCTCTACCCCCACCCTGCACCCATAGCGCACACCCCTCCCCCTCCCCATCACCTCTACCCCCACCCTCGCACCCATAATGCTCACCCCTCTGCCTCCCATCACCCCCACCCTGCACCCATAGTGCTCGCCCCTCTCCTTCCCATCACACCCACCCTGCACCTGTAGCACTCACCCTTCCCCCTCCCATTGCACCCACCCCAACCCTGGGCCTGTAGTGTTCGCCCCTCCCCCTCCCATCATGCCCACCCTGCACCCATCGGTAGGGCCCAGGACACAACATGGGTCACACCAGGATCATCCCCACAGGGCGGGAAATGCTGAACACCCCCCTGCAGCTTTTGCTGAGCCCTGCACTGTGCATGGAGCAGTGGGATCAGACCTGTCGGAGCACAAACTTTCCACCCCACACCCGCAGAAAGTGGGATGCTGGGTTCAGAGTATAGACCACCCAGTGCAGGACTAGCCAGGCGCCTCCCGGTGGCCACTTGCCTGCTCTCTGAGTTCTTGTCCTGAGCACGATTGCCACATTGGGAATCTGTGCTGCCTTTCGGGACAAGCCCCACGTACCCCGCTCCCTAGGAGATCCAGGCCTGGCTCTGCCCTGCCCTGCCTCGTGCCCATGTCATTGCAGAGGGGGTAGCACACGCTGCCAGATCTCACTGGTAGCGTTATACGCGGCCTCTGCACTCGCCCCGTCCTGGTGTGACCGACGAGAGAAAGTGCCTGGCCACAGAGGACCAGGCCTCTTGGCGCTGGTCTCCTTCACCGGCTGTCGGGGAATAGCTGCAGCATTGCTGTGTGCTGATATCACCTGCCAGGGCCTGCCCCAGAGGCGCTGCCGTGGGGCTGCAGTCAGACCTGTCCCAGTGTGTGCCCCTCGGGAAAGCACTCCTTATCTCTCACTAACCCCCCTCCTCTTAGCCCCCTGGAGTTCCTGTGGACAAAGGAAGGCAGCGATGTCCCCCTGCAGATAAACCCTGACCGCATCCTCACCCTTCCTCCCGTCGGCAAGAATGAAACTGGCACCTACATCTGCACGGCCACCAGTGCCTGGGGCAGCTCTGTGGCCAAGTACAGCCTGGAGATGATCGGTACGTCCCTGCAGCTCTCGGCCCCAGTAAGGGCACATGGCAGCAGCCAGGGCACTGAGCTCCCTCCTGCCCCCACCGGAGGGGGCTTTCGCCAGCACCAGCATCCACTTTTGTGCCCTGTCTCCTGGTGAGCAAAGTGCCAATGTGGCCATGGGCTGACGGGCCCTTTCAATTAAAAGAGCCTCATTCGAATGCTGCTTCCCCAGGAGCGTGCTGTCTGGGACTTGGGGAAGGTGGCCGTGGGGTCCATCTGTCCCCAGCCCCAGAGACAGCAGGGGGCTGTTCACTTCTCCACTTCCCTGTGACCAGCAGGGGGCGCAGTGTGTACCCACCTCTCCCCTCTCCTCCAGGGTGCAGATCCAATGATGCCTGGGGAGGAGGTAGGTGCCAGGGCCAATGCAAAGCACCCAGGATGGGAAAGGCCCCCAGCCCACTCCCACTCTCCTTGCTCAGGCACAGTGGCTGGGCGGGGAATAGGGGACAGTCTCAGTGAAGGCAACAGCCCCTGACCCAAAGTGCCCCATCCAGATTCACGTTCTGAATCCCTGCAGCCAGGCAGCCCTGCAGCTGTTACCTCCCCGCAGCCAGCGCTCGCCGTGCCCACCTCCGGAGTGTCCGCACGCTGGCTTGGGGCCACACGCAGCCCCAGCGCTCGCCCTGCCCACCCCCGAAGTGTCTGCACACTGGCTGGGTGTTACACGCGGCCCCAGCCCTCGCCCTGCCCACCGCCGGAGTGTCCGCACGCAGGCTGAGGGTCACACACGGCCCCAGCCCTCGCCCTGTCCACCGCCGGAGTGTCCGCACGCAGGCTGAGGGTC